GAAGTAGTTCTGATTTAGCCCAAACCAGGACTTCTGCTTAAGTCAGTGAAGAATACAAGGTGTTTGACAGTGTGTAGTTTGCATAAGACAGGAGTAATACAGGCAAAAATTAAAACAAAAAAAGCGCATTATCCTCCAATAACAATGTCAGCTTAAGCAGGTTTAGTAAATATCTGCAGATTGTGTATAACAGAGGAAAACTTACTGCAGGTGCATGCAATACATGTGACAGAACAGCACGGGGCATGAGGTATGTCATTGTGGCAACATGCCCAGGAGCATTTCACTGTAATACCGATATGCAAATAAAAGTTCTGTTTGGGAAGAAAATTAGGAAACAGCAAAATTTAAATATATCTGAAGAGAAAACTAAACGATTTTGCCTCTTTTAGATACATCAGTGGCACCATCTTCAATGGTTTCTGCCTCTGCTCCTTCAATATACAGTGTCCAAGCTCTTTCTCTTCTTGCAGAAGTAAGTAGGAACCGCTTTTGTAGTTGCTGCTCTCATCTGTGGGATGGTTGTTTGTTGATATTACTGCGCAGAGGAATACATTAGGTTTTCCTGGTAGATTAAATGGGAGCTTAAATCTTTGAGGCATCCCATGTGCACGGGCATTCTAGCCTGAAATATGGCATGCTTTTTCCCCTTTTGTCACAGATACCAACTAGAGGTTTAAAGAGGCATTCTTTTCATTTTTAAGGTTCTTGCTTCTCTTTTGGACATGGTTTACCGGAGCGACGAGAAGGAGAAAGCTGTGCCATTGATTTCGCGTTTGCTTTATTATGTATTTCCTTATCTACGCAACCACAGGTGACTTCTCTCTTTGCACATGTGATTTTTCTTAAGTCTGATTTTTTTTTTTTTTTTTTTGACGACACTGTAAGACTTTTGCTTTTTCTTCTGTTTGTCCTCTCCTCTGTTTCTATTCTAATAGATACGAGCTGTATTTGCCCCAGGAACTGTTTTGTTGTCTGAGCTTTGTGACTGCTGTTTCTGTTTAGCTGTAGGTGTTCCTCCCATCTGGGTTTTTAGCCTTTACTTAAAGCTCCCCTTTCTGTGTATGTTAGGTAATGGAGAGGGGCTGTGTGAGTGGGCAGCAGAGCACTGGGCAGGTCACAGGACCCATCATGAAGGAGGAAGAGTACAGTATCCTCCTATACTCTGCCTAGTTTTTCAGCCAAAAGCATAGGTGAGATGTGGGATATCCTCTGTCAGCTAAACAGTATAACCCTTTTCCCACAGGGCCAGGAGGAGAGAGAGGAGAACTTTTCCTTACTGTGAGGGTTTCCTTTCCATCTTCCATGGCCTTATCAGTTGTTTGTGATTCCTCAGCCCTCCTCATGCATCTCTCTCTGCCTTTCTCACAGTGCTATTTACAGGTCTTTTAGAAAACAAATCCTCATTTTTCTAGCAGTTCTCTGCCAAGTGGCAGGAAGCCACCTTCCCCTTCGCTTCCCTGCTTGCCGCCAGTTCCGTTTTTCTGAGTTGCAGCTGCTCCTGCTGTAGGTGTTCTTAAGCTTCCCCTTCTCCTGGCTGCTACCTTTTGGCTATTATGTTTTTCTGAACAGACCAGTTACACTGCAGTGTGGGAGAGCATCAGCCACGGCTCGTGGCAGGAAGGGATTGTTTCACGTGTTACTAAAGTTACAGTCAAAACCACTAGCCAGTGTACAGTCAAGAGCGAAAAAGGGTATAGACGGTCAGGGAAGATACAACCAGCCATGTCTAAAAGGGATGATGGGTTGAGTGTCACTGGGAAGTGAGCATTAGATCCAGCAAGCCTCAGGTTGCAGTAGGGTTTGACAACGATATTTCCATGCTCCCACTCAAGGGAGGCAGATTAAAAATGATGTAGAGAAGTTTTGGGAAGCTATTCTTTTCTATTCATTATATTTGTGCATTTTCCATTGTATCTATTACTATGTTTTCTGCCTACTTCAGCCCTAACCAAGTCAGTCAGATTCTTGATGTATGGAGTGTATGTCACTCTTGTTGACTGGTGCATATAGCATCATGCACATGCATCCTGTCCCCTCACCACTTGCAGTAGATATGGAAATCCCTGCATACAGCCATGACCGAAACTGTTCCTGGGAATGCTGGCATTATGCTGCCGTGCTTGGTGTGCTGTGAGCCAGTGGCTGCAAGCCAAACACTCGTTCCATCTCTGCCCCATGTGTGGAAACAGCACAGTTAAAATTGGCCTCGACACCACTGCTGTCAGGATGTCCCCGTGAACTGGTGCAGGGGATAAATGACAATTTCTGCAATGCAAATGGGATCGGAACGCCAGGAGTCAGCCAGCTTTTCTTTTTCTTGCAAGGAAGATACTGCCGTCCCCTTAGATCTGAGTCTGATGGTTCAGATGACATGAGCATCAGAGCTCTGATGAAGTTGCTGAGGTGCCTACAGATGTCCCTGGATAGTTCTCCAGTGTTGTCCTGGCAAGGCCAGCAGTCCTTGTGATCTCTGTAGCTGTAACCATAGCGAGGTGGTCACTGGTTAAGAATGTGGAGCCCCCATCAGGCCCACAGATGTGCTGGATGATTTTCATGTTACTCATATGTGCCACTCAGCAATTGGACTATGACCTCCAAGACTGTCTTCATGCCTCTGTCCTCCCCAGCTTGGCAGGAGTTCAGTTACAGGGCTCCACAAAAAAAGCAGTAGCCTTGCCCTTGAAAACACAGGGGCTGCTGAAGCCTTTTGTGTGTGAAGGTCTGGTGTCACCTCACAACAGAGGACCTTGACAGCATCCCTTCTCCACAGAAAGTCACATTCCTGGCAGTCTGCGCACTATCTCACCAGCCTGAAACCTTTGTTCAGCTAGGGGCAAAGCAGTTACCATAGCAAGGATTTGTAAGCAGGACACTGTTTGACATCTGTGTCTTCAGTAAAACTGAGGTGCCAGAGGACAAGCATCGGTTCACGCAGGGTCCCTTCACCTTGCTCCTACCAGTTTTGACTTGAGCCCCACGCTCCTTCCCTACTGTGCCTTGAAGAGCATGGTGCCCAGTTCCGCAGTGGGATGGTGCATAGGGCAGCACAAGGAGAAAAAGGCTTGTGTGCGAGATATTTATACAGGTGATGACATGAGAACTGATGCATGTTATCTGGGCGACAGATGAAGTCTAGTGTGGTACCTTCTAAAGAGGCCTGCTGACAAGGATTCAAAGCTTATTGGAAACTTTATTTTGGGGAAGTTTGAACCACATCTGTAGTGGAGACGGGCAGTGGTGTGCTGAGATGCATCCAATCTGAAAATCTCCCCAAACCAGGCACACTGGAAGTGTGAGGAGCTTCTGCACAAACTGTTTTGATCTACTGATCTCCTGCTGCTCTGAGTTATAAGCTAATGTAGACATAGCCTATTACTGAGAGAATTTGGTTAGAAGTTCTGGGGAACCCCGGAGTTTATTTTCTGGTTACATAAACTTAACCTTAAAAAATATATATATTTATCTTTATTGTTCTCTTCTCCCAGTGCCTATAACATTCCTAGTTTTCGTGCTGGTGCTCAGTTGCTCAGCTCATTGAGTGGATACGCCTATACCAAGCGAGCCTGGAAAAAAGAAGTTGTTGAGTTGTTTATGGATCCAGCTTTCTTCCAGATGGACACTTCATGCACTCAGTAAGACATGAGATGGTAGCAATTCTATTCTGAGTTTGCAAATAAAGGCTTTAAAAAATGGCTAATTTTGGAAAGAAAATTCTGTTTAGTACTTTCTTACAGAATGTAGTAATGTTAAAGATGGGTCTTGACAACTAATTTTACTAAATGCATTGTAAGCACTGAAGTTTTCATTATACTGCAGAAGGATAAACCTGTCTCATGCTGATACTCCCCTCAGTGATTAGGGAACTGCATACAGTAGACCTGGAGGACCTAGAATGCAGTATGCGTTAAACCAGATAAGAGCCTGCATATTGAGTCCCGTTTGGAAACTGCTTCCTTGTATGAAATGTTTGACAAAAATCTTTTCTGAAGTGAATCCATAGCAACGCTTTCTCTGGTTATCTGATTCCTTCTATATCTTATTCAGTTGGAGATCCATTATTGACCATCTTCTAACACATGAGAAAACGATGTTTAAAGATTTGATGAGTAAGTATCAACTACTGGTATCTTATTTCTACATTAATTTGAAATCTATTTGCATTGGAGCTATTGGGTACATAATTGAGTTGCCAACTTTATTCACAGCTAAAAGCTGTGCTAAGTTAATTCTGTATTTCAGTCAGGTCTAAAACACCCCCTAAGTATTTTTGTTCTAGAAATGTTAATGTTGGACCCCTGCGTTAACATTTTGCCGTGGTTTTAAGTTGCTGAATTGTGACCTTTTGCAGCTGTGCCCTCTTAGAAAGCAAGGAGACTTTGGCTAACTTTGCAGGTGTCTATATACTGGCATCGAGCTGTAGGAATATGGAGCACCAATACAGCAAACCTTTGAGCAACGTGCTTTGACCTCTAATTCAGGCTTGAGAAGAGCGTAGAAAAAAGTGGTGGAAGGAGTGGGATAGAACCCCCTAAATTCACATGGAGCAAAAGAAAAAGCAGCTTTAGTCTCTTTCAGATCTTCCAGAAGAATATTTGAAGGGTTACAATGCAAGGCTAATTCATAATGCACTTTTGTTTTTAACAATATATATTTTTAAACTTATCTCAGTTTTTTCTCAGTAAGTCTTAAAGCTCTGAGATCACTCATCTGTGGATTTAGGAGACTGAAAAGAGGGGAAGGTTCATGCACATAAGGGCAGAGACAAAAGTTTAAAATATTGGACAGCCTCCCTGGAGCTGCAGTGTTTGTTTCATATAAATTTCCTGCTCGTGTGAGCAAATCTGGATCAACACTAATTTATTATTCTAATTAGTAGGCCTAAAGGGAGGGTTTTTTTTCCTTTTTAAAAATTTCAGGACATAGGAAGTATTTCAGCCCAAAACACAAAAAGTCTTTATATGGTAGACAATTCTTATCTCTGTTCTAGATATGCAGAGCAGCGCCTTAAAACTGTACCCAAGTTCTGAGCAAAAAGCAATGTTGTTAAAGCGGCAAGCTTTTGCTGTCTTTAGCGGAGAGATTGATCAGTATCATCTCTATCTTCCCTTAATACAAGGTAAGATTTGTAATTTCACCTGCCTTTTTTTTTTTTTTTCAGCTATAACACATATATTAATTGTGTAAGAAAAGAATGTCACCTATTTTCCAATACATACTTCCATTTTTTTTAAAGTTTTTAACAAAATCTATTACGCTGTGAATCTCTGAATTCTAACAAATAAGTAATCTCATTAAGAGCGAGACAGGAATCTGGATTCCAAAGCCTTTGGTCTGGAAGTATAACTGGAAACACAATTATTTTGTGGCAATCTTCCAGCCACTCTTGGGCTGTTGTTGTTGTCCTTAAATGTCAGTTTTGACAAAATTTTGTCCCGTATAAAACCAACATGTCTTCAGATTTTCTGAATCATAATTTTGTTAATAGAGTGCAAGGGACTCAACCCAAAACTGAAGATAAAGCACAAATTTTGTTTTGCCACATTCTACATTTTTAATTTCCCAAAACAACACCTGTTCAGGAAAATACTAGTCTTTTGTTTTGGATTTTTTGGTTGTTTTGGGTTTTGGTTGTTTTCTTTTTTTTTTTTTTTTTTTTTTACTTTTTTTCATGTTTATTTCAGAACGACTGACTGAGAACCTCCGTGTTGGGCAGACTTCTATAGTTGCCGCACAAATGTTTCTCTTCTTCAGAGTTCTTTTGTTAAGGATTTCTCCTCAGCATCTAACCTCGTTGTGGCCAATTATGGTGACTGAATTGGTAAGGAATATAATAATTTCAAAATGATTAGTGTTTTTTCCCATTTCACCTGTTTCTTTCTCCCAAATACATGCCCTGTTTGAAAAAGAAAATGTTTTCATAGTTCTACATTAGTCTGATAATTTGGGAAAAGAATTAACATTGTCATTAGGAAATACCTTTTGATTAATTTTGTTGTTGTTTCTAATGTAATCCCTTGCATGATTTGTTAATTTGTTGTCAGTCGTAAGAGTATACTAAGAGTCTGGTTCCTTATACTATGTGAAGCATATCTTTTTTGTGATTGAGTTGCAGGGACATTTCAGCATTTGAGCTATTAGGTACATATAGCTCAATATTCATAAATAATTTATTTCTTTAAAGATTCAGACATTTCTACAGCTGGAAGAAGATTTAACTGAGGAAGATGAACCATCAAAGTAAGAATTACCATTTGTCTGGTAGAGAGCTTGTGAAAGCTGGTAACAATTGCGCTTGTTCTGTATCTGCAAATTTTTATTTATTTAATTCTCTGGGATAGGGAGGAAACAACAGAATTTTTTGTTATTGCGCTTGTGTATTTCCGGTACTGCTGAATCATAGTTTAGGAATTTTTTTCAGCAGCTAAAATAGTGATGTGTTCAAAAAATCTAAATACCGCTTACTAGTTGCATACAAAAATAGAAGAGCTGCTAAGTCAGCATTTGAATGTCTTAACATATTGCCATTTTTTTCCTGCATGTTTTAGATTACTTTGTCATCTAACAGCCTTTTATATTAATCACAGTGGTCATACAGAATAAATACAGTTTTTGTTGCGCACAGGTGCAAGTGCTCATTTGTGTAAAAGTGTACATTTCTCTCTTGCTGAATGAAGAAACATTTAGTGGTTTATTTATTAACGGTACACTTCCTAATTGTAACTAACACAGGAGCAACAGCAAAATAAGCAAACAGAAAGTCTCAGGTGATGGCAGTGGATCTGACATACAGCAGAATGAGCTGTCCTTGTACTTATCAGCTTGTAAGTTTTTGGACACAGCACTTTCATTCCCGCCTGACAGGATGCAGTTGTTTCAAATGTAAGTTCTCCAATCACTTCCCTGTTCTCCAGGTTGTTACTGTTCTTATCCTTTAAAGTAATCCCAGATCTATTTTCTTCTAGACTTAAATTTGCCATCAAGTGCAGATGTTGATACTCAGACAAACATAATTCCGGGTATTTGGAAAAACAATTTGGTCTTGTCAGTGTAGGAGGATTTCACCATCCTCATTAGGAGGCTTCCTAACTTGGAAAAACTGGGAAAAGAGGAAAATGGAGACTGTTCTTTGTTTTCCCTTGCACACACTAGGGATTTCTTTGGAGCCAGTTGCATTTAAATACTGACATGGTAGTAACATCCTTGTTCATTAAGTTTGGCTCTAGTAATAGCATACAATTATAGTTATGACAGCTTTCTGTAAACAAATCAGTGCTCTATTAAACTATGTGTGATCCAAACAAGGATTTTTTTTTTCCTGCCTGTCGTCTTATCAAGTAATCCATTTGTTTCAGGTACAAATGGGCATTTGTTCCAGAGGTGGACACAGAGTCATCTACTGTGACCTCTCATCTGGTAGAAAATCATCAGGAATGCAGACCACACATTATAAGAATCATGGATCTGCTGAAGATTAAATATGGGGTACAGAAAGAATGCTTTACTTGAATCTTTTTCTTGTTTGTTTGGGGTTTTTTTTCCACTTACTTTTCTAAACAAGTGACAAGATTTTAAGTTAGGCAAGAGGTTTTCAGATACTCTGACAAAATTAATGAGGCTTTTAAAAATGATCCGCGTGCTTTCACACATATATCTTTAAGATGTCAGATTGCTTTTGACTGAGGGAACAATAGGCAGTTTCCCTGTTGTTCCCTTAAATCTGCCCACAACCACCCATCTCGGATGGGACTGGCATTTATAAAAAAAAGAGTATGCTGTACTTTGTCAAAAAAGTTTACCATCATAGCATTTTAAATTACCATTAAGGTTTCATATTAATTCTTCCAGAAAAGTAAATAGAAGCATTAGTATTTCTCAGAGATCTCTGTATTCTGTTGTTGTTTGATATCTGATTCTGAAGGTGTCCCGTCCCGTCCCACTCAGTGGGTTTTGGGGCAGGTGAATCTTTTGTATCCTCCCTTTTAAAAGGGGTTTTCCTCTGCACAGCAGAGACCTTTTGCTCAGCAAAGCTAGCGAGTTAATAACCCTCTTTGGTAAGTAGATTTGCAGCAATAACACACTTTATTAGTAATATTTCACAGATCAGATAAAGGTATGGCTTTCACTAATTTTATCTAATAATATGGAGAGAGGAAAAAAAAGAAAGAGAGAGAAAGAAAGAAATATCAGCACTCCTGCGGTCCAGCAACATCTCACAGGTCTAGTCTGATCTTTAGTTCTTCAATGGTGGATGCACACTGGTGCCTTGATTATTGGTATTCTTATTGTCCTGTTCATTAATATTCATGAGTCATGTTCACATTATCCCCTCCTCTTCTTGCTTTTCATGCTAATTAGGATGCAGGTGTGGTATACAACATTTTGGGGGCTCCAAGGGGGTTTTGTCCACTATAGATAAGGGAGTGGGCCTCCCCAAGTCCGGAAACATCCCTCTTCTGCAGGTTCTGTGGCTGCTCCAACTGAAGCCCCCCTTATTGATCACCCCAGCTAAAGTTTCTGAAGGGGGGAACACCGCTCCACCCTCTTATCTCTGAGGAGGAGCACTGTTCCACCTCTGCAGGGATTGTTCCCTCCCTGGAGCAGTCTACTGCAAAGCAGGCTGGTTTTAGGGCTAACACGTAAAACTTGCACTGTAAAACAGGTTTGTTCAAGACATACATAAAATATGCAAAACAGGTTGTTTAAGGCAAAAAATCACTGTCCTTCCCAGAAGGCTAGTCCAAATTTGCAGTCTTCTGAACTTCTGAGACTTTTGTTTAATGGGACCTCAAATCCAAATGCAGAGGTAACTCAGTATACCATCTATACAATTTAATTTGTGATACAGTTGTAGGGTCCGGATCTTTTGGTATGAAAAAAGTGTATAGTATAGGGTTCAGACAAGCCCTGACAACACTGTGTCTTAATGCAAAACCTCTAGTCAATCTCGGTTTGTTTGCTTACAGGAAACAAACAACACGGAGGGAATTTCCAAGAAGCACAAATTCCCTCTTTTGAACTTCCGCTCTGTATCTAGCATCACCCAGCTTATGCCCTTCTTCAAGACTCTGTGTTGCGCATTTACAACAAACGGGAGCGAGTCCCAGAATTCACATACTTCTGCAGCTCTCTCTGCGGACTACGTTGGCAGTAATGGCATAAAGATCTTGCAGCAGCTTGAGGAGGGTGTTGAGTGTGACTTCCTTGAAAACATGGAAAGTTAAGCCACACATCAGACACTTGGCTCATGGCGAATCAATAGCAAAAAAAAAAAAAAAAAAGGGAAAACTTGACTGCAATTCTCTTCTTTTTTTTCCCCAGTTTTGAAACTACATTTTGGGTTTTTCTTCCTGCTGTTGTGGAGTGCTCTTCAATAATCCAGGCTTATGAGCTGGGGTTAAAAAGCAGGACTCTTCAGTTCTGGGGTGGGGGGGGAAGACAAAGTACAGTTTAGTGGTACTTTATCATAGTTACTGTATTCTTTTACTTGTTTTCAATGTGAAGGATTAAAGAGATTTTGTAAATAAAGGAAGAATATTTTTGACCTGGTGAAAGTAGCAACTGTACCATCTATCCAGTAACTTCTCAAGTAAGTACTTTAAACTGCTTTTGGAATTGTATTCTGAAAGGAAATTCAAGAAAAGGCTAATACTGCATGCCAGCATACAGTCAGTTTGCATATAAGCCATTTCCTGAGGTTAAAGCTCACTTCTACTTCTCCTTTCTTTAACTTGTCCTAAAACTTACCAACTTCTGAACAAATCACCTAAATTTCAAACAGATGCATTTTGTAAGTCTTAGCATTGTGCAAATAACTGCGGAATTACCACCTTTGTAATTTCAACTCTGTACTATAATACCATTCTTCAGGATTAGTGATTCCTAAATAAAAGACAAACATGCATAAAAGACAAACCTACGCAGTTACATTTTGTAATTTACATTACTTGAGGGATTTTTATTTCAATGAATTAACTAAAGATATTCTAATTCAGTTTTTTGAATTAAACTTTGTCCTTTCAGTGACTAAGGTCACTTTGCAACTTCTGAAATGCAACTAAATGAAGATAATTCTGTAAAAATATAAATTGCTGTATACCAACAGCCTACTTAAAATGAAAATAAAATTCCTTTTTTTAAAGAACACTTTTTATACAAAAGAATGTATTTGGCTGTTCCTAGGTGTCAAGAGAGGTAGGGAGATCATCACAGTGCCACCACTACAGTAATGTTCAAGATGCAGTTTATTTTGGAGCTGTACTGCTGCCACCGCTCAGGACATGGGAGACAGGGATTAGTTCTGCCACCAAACAGCTCAGTTGTGTGTCTGAAGGACACTTCTGATAAGCACCATGGTAGCAACACATACAACAAAAGGCTTAGTAGAATGTTTTGTAAATGAGGAGGTGGACTCCATTGAATTTCCGTATTTACTGGATTATCTGACTGAATTTCCAATCCTGATTTGCCTGGGAGGGGAAGCTTATCATATTTTTCATGATGAAAAGCTTTGTCTGCTCTGTTTTGGTTTTTGTTTTGTTTTTTGTTTTGTGGGTGTGTTTTTTTTTTTTCTTTTTAGACACCTTTGCCTCCAGAGAAGTTGGTTTTGTAAAATATACTTGTAGATTGGTATGTGCTGCTTGAGTTATTTCGAACATCACAACTAAGGTAAATGTGCTGGCTACTGGAATTTACACCTCTTGGTCTTGCTAATTAAAAAAGGGCATACAAAATGTACGGTTTGTGTCACTATATTGTGAGGTCAGGGATTTAGTTTTTTCAAAACTCACACAACAAACACGGAAGGCTACTCTGCAGTGGTTTTAACCTGTAGATGTATAAAGTTTTCATCTTTGGGTTACAAACTAAAATAATGAAACTGAACAACATGCTTTACTATGATAATACTGTAATGCTCTATGAAGATAACACTATAATAGGCTTATGCTAAACTTAAATAGCTGCTTTGCACTTCTACAGTTAAGGAAGGTGATAGACTGAAGTGTTATACTGTGTGGTCACTAAGAATGTGAATTATTTGTATCAATATAATTTATTAATGATCTCTAATGTTATTGGAATGAGCACAAGTGAAAAGTTATCCTTTGAAAGCATTACTTGAAAATTGAAGCAGGATATTTTTAAAATGTTTGTGTTCATTACTTACATATCTTCAATAATTTTTAAAGAGAATATTGCTAATACTCAGGATGATTTGGTAGTTTTACTTTCAGTTTTCCAGTAGTTGCATTCCGTACTTGGGTATTTCCCTTAAAATCCTGATGAGATGCTGTCCAATGGGCTATTAAAATCTAAGACAACTTTTTGACTTTTTGCCATCAAACCTTTTGTTTTCACATGCTCCCAAGAGCTGTAAACCTGTGTCTTCACGTAGTTTCATCACTAACTGGAGGTGGTGAACAAGTTACTTGCTTAGGTTGAGGGTTTTGTCATCCTTCCCCTTGAAAGGGAATGTCCCATTCTGGCTGCCTGTACTTCAGATGTGCAGGGGATCAGACATCAGTCACCTCCTCCCTAGCCATGGTGCTGAGCTTCAAAAGCAGAATCTGTGACTTAGGGCTGTATCTCTCTCTAACACCTAAGATGATCTCGCTTTCTAGAAAAATACCAGTTGCTTCCAACTCCTGCCTTCACACATACGTTTACATTTGTCCTGTGGTTCTGCAGATGCCTGCTCTAAATGGCCTCAGATATTTGTGACGCGCAGAATCCTTTCACTGCAGAGAAATCTAATTTTTAAGAACAAAAAGTTCATTAAAATTTAGTATATAAGCAGATTTTGTATCATTATAAATAGCACATGAATAAGGAGGAAAGGGCTCTAACTAAAAGAAGTCCTACTTGGGTGGTGGAGGGGCACAGGTACATAGGCCTAAAGGTATCTCCCGCAGTGTCACTTTATTCCTTTCTATCTGGGACTAGCCGTAGCCATTTTACTTCTTATGCTACAGCTGTTAAATCCACAGGAAGGAGGGCTGTACTGTTCTCACACTGGTACTGCCCACGTGGAGTAACTTAACTGTAGATGAATCTGAAAAATTTTTGCCTAGAACTCTGTATCAAGAACAGGAGAGAAAATGCTTTTTGCTTTGCTGTGTAGTTCTTTGCTTGTTTTCAAAATAACCAAGCTTTTCTTTCTCTTTTGCATACTTCAGCTTTGAGATAGCATAGCCACAGTGCATGATAGGCAGAGGGAAACGTATTTAAATACAAGGATTTCATTTTCCTGAAGGAAAAATACACTAGGTGCAACCAAGGTAACGGCCAAAGAACAGCAGAACTTGAAATACGGAGCATTAGGTAATGGTTAAGTGTATTCGATGCTATATTTGAATGCAATTCTTCTAATAATATTAAATGTTATTTTGAAATACCTTTTCAACTGCAATTCTCATTTTTCAGACTACCTTTACTGCTCACTCACCAACCTTAATTTTCATCTGGTTCTGTAAAAGCGTCCCCATTCCCTTTCAAGGAACTCTCCAGCCCGCAGCTTGGATCCAGCCCCAGGGGCCCAGGGCAGCCTGGGCTAGCCGCTACCCTCGCCGAGGGCGAGGCGGCACCCCCGCCTCCCTCACCCTCTCCTCGTAAGCCCCTCCTGCTCCAGCTGTTACGTCCTTGGATTTGGCCTTCCTTAACTTTCCAGCCCGGGATCCCAGCCCTGGGGCCTTGGGACAAGTTTTGTGGGTCCGTATGTCTGGGAAGCACCGCGTGAAGCAGACGGACTGACCGCCAGGCACTGACCCCCCCGGAGGGAGGGCCCGCCTCCGCACGCTGAGGGCCGGTGCCCTGACGGCGCTGCCTTTCCCTTCGGCAGGAAGAAAACTTCCCGCTCGAACGCGCGAGGCCGGAGGAGCGCGGTTTCAACGCCTCCGCCGGAGCCGCTTTTTGGGCTGCGTCCTTTCTCTGTACGTCTTTCGTAACGTTGTGCGACGACGTACCTCGCACCGCACATGCTGCTCGTGTTTGGTTACGTGCCGATGTTAAAACCGCACACCGGGGAACACCGCAGCC